AAAAAAAAAAAAAAAAAAAAAAAAAAAAAAAAAAAAAAAAAAAAAAAAAAAAAAAACCATAATCAGTTAATGATTCGTCAAATTGGTACAAATGTTTGCTTTATTCCGAACAAGCATGGATATTTGGTATAGCTGCCACATTCTAAGCATTCGACTTCAATTTAAAAAAAAGGTGCAAAGTATTCTTAGCTTAGTCTGAAGGAATAACAAACAACACCCTTAAAATGGATCCATCCAAGCTACTCACATATGCTGGAGCTGCAAGTTGTCCCTCCCCAACCAAGTTATTAAAGTGCCCTAAAGAATTAAACTTACCAAACAAAATAATAGTTTTGTCCCTAACGTTTGAGTACGGTCTTAATTTAGTAACTAAATTCCGGAAAATTAAATTTTTATCCTTAATTATAGAATTTAGTGTTTATTATTCATAAATATCCAAAGTTACCTTCACACCTTTAAATTTTGAGTTTAGTTTCTCTTTTATCTCTATTACTTTTGAATTTTTTAATTTTTAATAGTAATGTAAAAATAGTGAAAACAAATTTAATTATAAATAATTTAGAAAAATTAAAATAATTTATAAAATTTTAATCCAGGTGAATAAAAGTGAGTATTATTAAACATTCAAAATAAAAATGTAAAATTTTAAGACAGCGATAAAAAAGAAGCTAAACAACTGAAAGACGAGAATGTCACCCTTGCAAATCTAGTCTAAACTATAAACAAAAACTTAAAAAAGTATATTTAGAAATAAAATAAAAAAAAAGTCGATGGCACGTGATCACTCCAGTCCTCATCGAATCATTAATTACTGAAATTTTGTTTCAAACTAAATAATAATAATAATAAGAACAAATAAGGCCTACCTTCGACGTGCACGTGATAACGATGAGCTCAGCCACCAACCATTTGACTCTTGCCACCGTCGTCCAACTTTGACAATGGAGCTTCACCGTTACATCATTTCATCCCATATTTCTCCATATCTCTCTCTCTCTCTCTCTCCCCATTTCCTGCCATCTTTTTCCCTGAAACCCCAGACCCTTAATCCCAATTCTCCCCTATGGGTCTTCATAGCTTCTTCTTAATCCTTCTTACCGTCTCTTTCTTCTTCCAATTCCGCCTCTCCCTTTCCCAGAACCCCACAATTTGCCATTCCGATGATTTCAAGGCCTTGCAGGACTTCCACAGGGCGTTTGATTCCCAAATCGACGGATGGCACACCGACTGTTCGACGAATTGCTGCAGTTGTCTTGGCCTCACTTGTGACTCTTCTGGACGGGTTGTGAAGATGGAGCTTGGTGGTAGGAAGATCGAGGGTCAGTTACCTTACTCGATTGCAAGTTTGGAACACCTCAGAGTTCTCAATCTGTCTTCTAATTCTCTCAATGGGTCCATTCCCTTGGCTCTGTTTCATCTACCATACTTGGAAGTTCTTGATCTCAGTTTCAACGATTTGGCTGGGAGCATTTCATCAGGTACCATTAATTTGCCTTCCATCCGGCTTCTTAACGTTTCTCATAATAACTTTAATGGAAGTCTTCCACTTGGGGTTTGTGTTAACTCCTCTAGAATTGAGATTCTGAATCTGGGTTTCAATCGTTTCACTGGTATGTTTCCTGTTGAGCTTGCTGAATGTGTTTCCTTGAAGAAACTGTTTGTGGAATCGAATTTACTCAGTGGTGGGATACCTGATGAGGCTTCTGGTTTGAGGAAATTGACACATTTTTGTGTTCAGAATAACAAGCTTTCTGGTTCTTTGAATGGTGGTGTTGGGAATCTCACAAACCTTGTTCGATTGGATTTGTCATCTAATGGGTTTTTTGGCGAAATTCCGGATGTTTTTTATAACTCTGTGAATTTGAGTTATTTTGCTACCGAATCTAATAGGTTTAGAGGAAAGATTCCCAATTCTTTGTCAAACTCTGCTTCACTCAATGTCCTAAATTTGAGGAACAATTCAATAGAGGGAACTCTTGATCTCAACTGTTCAGCAATGAAAAGCCTGGTTACACTTGATTTAGGCACTAATAGGTTGCATGGCTCTATACCAAGTAATCTTCCCTCTTGTACTCAATTGAGAAGTATAAACCTTGCTAGGAACAACCTTGGCGGTCAGATCCCCGAAAGCTTTAGGAATTTTCAGAGCCTCTCGTATTTATCACTTACGAATACGAGCATTGTTAATGTTTCGTCTGCTCTTAACATCTTGCAACATTGCAAGAATTTGAGTACAATGGTCCTTACCTTTAATTTTCATGGTGAAGTGTTGGAAGATGATCCTAACTTGCATTTCAAGAGCCTCCAAGTTTTTATAATTGCTAATTGTGGATTGAAGGGAATCATACCCCAGTGGTTGAGAGGTTCTAGGAAGCTGCAGTTGTTGGATTTGTCGTGGAACCGTCTTGGAGGAACTATTCCACCCTGGTTCAGCGAGTTGCGGTCCTTGTTTTACTTGGATTTATCTAATAATTCATTCACTGGATATATCCCTCAAGAGGTGACTAAAATGAGGAGTTTCATTGACAGAAAATTCTCGCTCGATGAACCTTCCTCACTAGATTTTTCCCTTTTTGTGACAAGAAATGGAACTGGATTGCAGTACAATCAAGTATGGAGGTTTCCACCCACTTTGAATCTCAGTCTCAACAATCTCAGTGGGCCAATCTCGCCAGAGTTTGGAAATCTTAAGGAAATTCTAGTTCTTGATCTGAAAATCAACAGCCTTTCGGGATCGATTCCGAGCAGCCTTTCGGGGATGGTTAGCCTAGAGACTCTGGATCTTTCTCACAACAATCTTTCAGGAATAATTCCTCCTTCACTGCAAAATCTCAATTTTTTGTCTAAGTTCAGTGTTGCATACAATCATTTACATGGGGCAATTCCTGAAGGAGGTCAGTTTCATAGCTTTGATAACTCTAGCTTTGAAGGAAACAATTTTTGTGTCCGAGACGGTATATGTACATCAATAGATCCTCTCATGCCATCCCACAAATCAAGAATGGATATAGGGAGTATTGTAGGTATGATTTTCGGTATTGTGTTTGGGATCATGTTTCTTATAACTCTTATGGTTGTGTTTATGCTTCGGGCTCCTCGTGGAAGAGTTGGAGATCCCGAAAATGAAGTGTCTAATACTGACGATAATGACTTGGAGGAAGGCAAGGCAGGATTGGTAGTTCTGTTCCAAAACAATAACAATGGAAGCCTCTCGCTGGAGGACATTTTGAAATGGACAAATGATTTTGATCAAGAAAATATCATAGGATGTGGGGGTTTTGGTTTAGTTTACAAAGCAACCCTTCCTGACGGCAGAAAGGTTGCCATAAAACGGCTATCTGGAGATTGTGGTCAAATGGACAGAGAATTTCGGGCGGAAATCGAAACGCTTTCTGGTGCTCAGCATCAGAATCTTGTTCTTCTTCTAGGGTATTGTTTGTATAAAAATGACAGGCTTCTGATTTACTCTTTCATGGAGAATGGTAGCCTAGATTACTGGTTACATGAAAAACTTGATGGTCCGTCTTGCCTCAATTGGGATACCAGACTGCAGATTGCTCGGGGGGCAGCTGCAGGGCTGGCTTATTTGCATCAATCCTGTGAACCTCATATCCTCCATCGAGATATAAAGTCAAGTAACATTCTTTTAGACAAAAACTTTGAAGCTCACTTAGCCGATTTTGGTCTTGCCAGGCTCATTCTTCCCTATGATTCCCACGTCACGACCGATCTTGTTGGTACACTAGGCTACATTCCACCAGAGTACGGGCAATCCTCGGTGGCAACTTACAAAGGGGACGTGTATAGTTTTGGAGTTGTTCTATTAGAGCTTTTGACTGGTAAAAGGCCAATCGATATGTGCAGACCGAAAGGAGTTCGAGACTTGATCTCTTGGGTGTTTCAAATAAGGGAAGACAGAAAAGTAAGTGAGGTGTTCGATCCATTAGTATACAATAAGCAGCATGAGACAGCGATGACTGAAGTTCTTGATATAGCATGCCTTTGCTTATGCAAGGTACCTAAAGAGAGGCCTTCAACTCAACAGCTGGTTTCTTGGCTTGATAAAGTAGGTTAAATCTCCCAAGCTTCTCACCTCAAACATTTGTACATTTTAGTATACTGCATATATTCCACACGGTAATTCTCGTGTACATATGCACATCCAGCAGTCTCAATTGAAGATGTGAAGCTTCATTTTGAGATTAAATAGTCATATTTTGAAAACTTGTAAACTAAAAGTAGATAAGTTATTGAAAGGAGCCTTAAAAGTCTCACTTTTGACTAATAAGATAATGTTGATTTTCCCTTTTGTGGAACTATAAATTGTATTTTGGGTACATAGGCTAGACTTTGAATAATGTTCTGTAAAATTTTAGATAACTCTCAATATATATCTTTAAACCTTTTGTTAAGGGTCAGATTAGGCTTCATGGATCAATATTTGAGGCCTACTTTTCGTTAACAATTTTTTTCCCCTTTTTCTCTCTTCTTTTTTCCAAACTAAATGGTGGAATTCAAATTTTTTAATATGTGAGGGCAAAATCTGCGAATTTTAAATGACAAAAAGTTAAGAATCATTTAGAGGAGTAGAGATCATTTTGTGTATGTAAGGAATAAATTTTGTGGCTCCCATTTTAGAGCAGGTTTCAATTGTGCTTATCCACGTCATGGAGTATTTTCTACCGTTAAAAAATAAATAAATCTTGGTTTTTTCAAACTAAGATTTGATTGAGATAGCGAAATGGTTTGACATCTGATTCTAAATAAAGATGGAAATTTGACCAATGAAGGGATAGGAAGGAATGATAAAAGATGGTCAAATATGGAAATTCCATGACCACATTTGTCAAATTTGTGAGGTCACACCATTATTAAATGTAGTCAAATCAATCTTTTTTGTTAATAGAATAATCGGAAATTGTCAATAATATTCTAAATATACATAAATCTATTGATTTTTTTTCTATGCCTATTTGGTGTATAATTTTTTTATTTTAATTTTATCTTTTTTCTCTTGAAATCAAAAGACAAAACTAGAATGCCACAAGTCAGGGGTATGCATGACAGGCATCCCCTTTAGAGGCCGAGGAGTTGCATTTGGGTTTCGGCCAAAATTTTCACTTTCTTTATCTATATGTGTTGGCCCAAAGTTTTCTCGCATTCGGCTTTTTACTGTATGTTACTGTATGTTTCGCCTATGATTTCCTTTATAACTTAGACTTGTTTTCTTTGTCCAATTTTATCCCATAATATTAGCTTCCACTTTTTTTATTAGGATTTTGGGTTTGACTTGTTATAAGTTGATAAGCAACCTTTGTTTAACGTATATATACCAGACACCATATTATTACCACACACACATAAAGATTAGTGTGATTGTAACAGAAATGGAGGGTGAATGGATGATTTTCTAATGAGATCCCCCAAATGCAAGGAAGATGGTTGGGCGTTGTCGGTAAAGACAGAAAAACAAGAAACAATTTGGGTCTTCCTCTTTTGAGACGTGGTTAGTGGTTACAACGAATGATTTTAAGAAAGAATCAAAAAGATTATTTTTTTTAATATGAAAATTTTAAGATTTTTGGACAGAAATGAAAAATAGATAGCCAGCCCAGCCCAGCCCATGTAACTGAAAATCCAAACCTGTTTATTTCTTCTGAGGCCGCCTTCTCGCAAATACCTTCATTCTAGGGCAGCAGCACTAGCAGCACTCCGCTCGTAGCCGCCGGTAACCCCTCTCTTCTTCTCTCTCTTGAATGCCCGTTCGTTTTTTCGTTTTCATCGTTATGTTTTCTTTCTGTATTTGTGTACTCAAAACTAGAAAATATTTCCGTCTTTTTCTGACAAGAATCAATAGTCTTGTTCAATTTATCTTTTGCCTCAAGACTTCGGGATCTTTCCCTCAAGTCTTGCCTCTTGTTTTGATTTGTTTGTTACAGTTAGAGTGTTGTGTTTTCATCCTTGATTTCGGTTATTAGTGCTATTCTTACTGATAAAATTTCCTCCCGTTTCGTTGTTTGGTTCTGGCAGGAGGGTAATTTTGATACAGGGTTTTCAGCGATGGCACCTAAAGGTATGTGTGCATTGTGTTTTTGTGGTTTCAGTACGCAATGTTCGTTTATTCGAATCAGTGTGTTCCATTGTAATATAGTACGGGGATATTACACGAAAATTTATGATATCAACTTCTGCTCTGAGCTACATGGGTCAGTGGATTTCTATGTGCCCGTTTATTGAAATTTATTTTCTTCTATTCCTATGTATACAATTTGGTGTTAGGATTTAAACATACTATATTGCTGAGAAGATTAGTTAGTTGTGACCAATACTCTCTATATTTTCCAGTATAGTTGGTACCGATCCTAGAAATTGTTAGTGCATTATGTCCTCTTTCATTTGTTGTTTTCTCCTCGTTTGATGGAAAACAAGTTTGATGTTTTAAATGTGATTTTTTTTGAGAATATACTGGAAGAATGGCATCTGAGCTCTTAATGTACTGTACTAACTGGTTGCTCTTGAGCTGTTGCAATTCTTAGTTGTGTTCTAATCTAAATTGATGGTTTTGCAGCTGACAACACCAAGAAGGCTGATCCTAAAGCACAAGCCCTGAAGACAGCCAAGGCGGTCAAGTCCGGGCCAACTTTCAAAAAGGCTAAGAAGATCAGAACATCGGTCACATTCCATCGCCCAAGGACATTGAAGAAGGATAGGAATCCCAAGTATCCTCGGATCAGTGCGACTCCTAGAAATAAGTTAGACCAATACCAAATTCTTAAATATCCATTGACCACTGAGTCTGCAATGAAGAAGATTGAGGATAATAACACCCTTGTTTTTATTGTCGATATTCGTGCCGACAAGAAAAAAATTAAAGATGCTGTGAAGAAGATGTATGACATTCAGACCAAGAAAGTGAACACTTTAATCAGGTACGCATGTATGAATTTAGAAGTTACACTTGCCACCAAAGTTTACCATCATCATTTACCTAGGTGGCATGGAACAGAAGAAATAATAGTTCATATGATTCTTTCTAGCTTTGCCAATGGCAATACCCCAGCTATAACTGCTTGGCTGTTTGGGTTCGATAGGGCATGCCATTTTATTTTCAGATATTTTTCATAATGAATAAAGTTAAAATTGATTTGTTAAATGCATGAAGTCTACATTGGAATTATGACTAGTGTCCTAACTATGTTCTTGGTTTGCAGGCCTGATGGAACAAAGAAGGCATATGTTAGGTTAACCCCAGACTATGATGCTCTAGACGTGGCAAACAAGATTGGAATTGTCTAATCTTCCTAGGGGAGTTTTTTTTCTCAGATTAGTTGTGACAATTTTGTTTAGATATTTGAGTGCATCTTGTGGGGACTCTTTTAGCTGTTTTTTTATATAATATATTGGTAATAATTAGCCACTCTGGTTGACTGAGTTCAAAATACTTGTGGAATACGTTCGAATCTTTTGTATTAGTTGTCTTCGAATACCTTTGTCACAGTTCTGAATTCTTCTCTGTAAAACTGTTTGACTTCTCAATAAATGGTAGTATAGTATGGCCACTCAACTTACCCAACCCCACTAGGTGTGGTCGGTCATTAGGACAAAATATAAATAATCGGAAAAAAAATGACATTTAGAAAAATAACAAAGAAAATAAAAGAAAAAGGAAAAAGGTAATAAAACAAATAAATAAGTGGATTTTAAATACCTTCCCATACCCACATTTTTTATATCTATGAAAAGAGCTTTCCCAAGCAATAAATTAAGTCCCATCCCCCCATGTCATTTCCCATCTCAAATCCCATCCCAAACTCTAAATGCCCCCTAAATGGTTATGGAGATGAAATCTTCGGAGAGAGAATGACAGATTATATAGAAACTAAATGTTATAATATTCAATTTGTTTCATCAGTGCATTAGAAACTATAAATGTTAAAATAGGAAATAAAAACAAGAAAGGAACAAATTTGAATTGTTTTTAACTGGAACTACAAATGGAGTCCACAATTTAAGTCCTAACATATGGACTCTTTTAACCCACCTAAATAACTCAACACCCAAATACACATTCCTAAATGTGGTCGAAGAGCTAAAAACAAAACCAAAACACCCGCCATAACCTTAAATTAAACCCAAGCAAATGAATACTTTAGCATCCATCGGCCCATAAGATAAATCTCTGTTTGCGCGTAGTTTTCCCATCTCACTTTCGGGATCTCTCTATTTTTGCTGCACATTCTGTATTTCCCCAATTTCGTTAAAATGCCGCAACACACCTAGATTATTTACCCCAAAACGAAGAACCAAGAATATTCACTCACAACACAGCTACATTATTTGCTCGATTGATCGCATTGCTGTTTTCTTTTTTTGTCGTTGAATTTCGCGGAGGAACGACGATTCTCTATAATTCGTTTCCACGTGAAAGGGGAGGAGGATTAATGGACACTAGCAGCGTCGGCTTGGAGAATTCGCCGGTGAAGGCGTTTTTGTTGATCGACGCAACCACTTGGTGGCAAGAAATCAATGATTCTCTCCTTTGGCAGGATCATATCTTCCTCACCCTTGCCGCTCTTTATGGCATCGTCGCCATCGTCGCTCTTGTAGGCTCCTTCTGTTCCTGTCCTTGTCCTTGTGTTTTCTGTTGTTAATCTCTCGTCGGAATTGAATTTGGGGAATTGGGTTTTTGTTTACTAGACTGAATATTTGATTTTCATGGTGTTCCTTGTTTATGGTTTCCTTAATTTCGCGGTTGTATTGGGTTATTTGCTCATTGCACATCTAATTCACCTGGACTTGAATATGGGGTTTTATTTAAGGATTTTGTTGTTTCTGATTCATAATCCCTGTCTCTGTGCTAGGAAAAGAACGAAGAGCTAGCAAACATGGAGCTTTCTTTGTCATTCTACTTTTGATCCTTAATTGTTTCTTTAGAATGAAAAACTGTAATGGGGACTCTCTGGTTTTAGGCAATTGAAAAACAATGGATGAGATAATGAATTCGATTGTATGAATCGTTGTTGGGTTTCTTAAATGTTTAATGTTAGGATGTTTGTGCCTGGTTTTAGGTTCAACTAGTTCGTATACAATTGAGGGTGCCGGAGTATGGTTGGACCACGCAGAAGGTCTTCCATTTTCTCAATTTCTTGGTGAACGGAGGTTTATTTCATCGGTTTTGTTTTTCCTTTTTCCACTTACCTTTTCTTTAATTGTTGCGAGTTCTGTGAATCTCTGGGCCAAGTGATTAAATGTTTCTCACTGCAGTGCGGGCAGTCGTTTTTGTATTCCGTCGTGACGTACAGAGTTTGGAACCACCGGTGTGGTTTGGTTCTTAATTGGTTGTTCTGATTTCTTTTTCCTATCACACGTTTAATGTTTCCCTTGTTTGTCTGTCTTAATAGATTCTCCAACATATCTTGCTTGGCATGCCAAGCCTTGCCTTCTTCACAACTTATGCTCTATTGGTTTTGTTTTGGGCAGAGATTTACTACCAGGTGGACATTTTTATTTTTGAATTCATAATGTTCTTTTTGCGAATATGGAAAGACTGTATGTATACAAACCTTACAAAAACTTTCCTCAGGCACGTGCTGTATCAACTGATGGGTTGAGACCAACTTTCCTTACAGTAAATGCAGTGGTCTATATTATTCAGGTGAGGCTCATTGCTATATCACGACTGAGAGATGAAGAATAGAATATTAGGGGCGAGGAGAGTTCAGGGGAGGAGGTTTGGTCTTTAGCAAGGTTTGACGCCTCATTTTGGGCGTCCATGTTGAAGGAGTTTTGCAATTATTAAGTTAGGTCTTATTATTCTAAATGGTAGCTCTTTCCTAGGCCGTCAAGCTAGGTATCATCAGCCTCCTTTTAGATGGTTGTTTTTGTAGGCCCGTTTTTTTATTGGCTCGTGCATTCGTCCCTTGTTAGCTCTCTTGTACTCTTTCATCTTTTCTGATTTTTTCATTTAAAAAATAAATGTGTGTATCAGGATGTTGGCTCGTTGTGGCCATTTCAATTAACGATATCAGCAATCATTTGATTCATAACACCAATTATTAATTACATAATCTAGTGAATATGAGTGAGAATAATACGTCCTTAAGCATGTTGGATGGTAAAGCAGACCATTGACTCAACGAGTAACTAACCATACATGTGTCGGCTGTATTTTGCATTCTGCCTACTACATGGATCATTATTCATAGTCAATAGCCAGCATGTTAACCGATTAATATATTTAACCCTTCTTTTTCTAAAAGTTTGATTGAGTTGCTTGCAGATTGTTTTGTGGCTGATATTGTGGTGGAATCCTGTTCATGTTCTGGCCACCCTTTCTAAGATGTTCTTTGCCAGTGTCTCTTTGTTTGCTGCCCTCGGGTTTCTTATTTATGGGGGAAGGTAATATTAGCATCTGCTTTTTCTCTGTTTCTTTCTGATTTACATACATTTAAATAATCCCTTTTTCTGTGATGGAGAAGTAAGAAAAAAAAATCTATGTTTATTGCTTATAGAACCATACACTACAAGGGAAGTTTGTGAACATCATGAACTTCTAAACGGGCCTTGTGTTTCTTTAATTGGGGAGTAATTTTGTTAACGGCTGCTGTATTTTAAAGGTATATGTGCCAGATATGATTTATAGCTTAGGGAAGCTGTATATGTCCGAGTAAAAATCCATTTGCCTATAGATTTAATTATTAAAGGTGGAACATAAAGTTGCAGCTCAGTGGTCCCCAGTGAGTGGTTCTTCCAGTTGAATAATTTCATTTCTTTCGGTGTTGATGGATACCGGTCATTGAGATTGGAGATCCTGAGATGGATTGGTTGAGACGACCCTAATCAATTCTGAAAAGTTAATGAAGACTTCTAGAAGGGGTTTTTCTTTTTTTGGTGTTGTGTGTGTGTGTGTGAGAGAGAGAGAGAGAAGAAACTACTTTCATGAAAGAATACACCAACAGAACATAAGCCAAAGGAACAAGGGAGCCACAACAAAGTTAAAACGAAAGGCTCCTGTCATTTCAAATTCAATCCAGGAAACAGAAAACACTGAACCAAAAACGTGGACAGAGCAATTGAAGGCGAGCCATTCTTCAATTGTTCTCTCTGTGTGAGTCGTATGACATTTTCCCCCTGAAATTCTCAGTTTAATTGGGGTTGGAGAATCCCTTTCTTCCTCAAAACAATTTCAAGGATGGGGGGCAGAATGTAACCTTGCTTTGACCCCAATCTCTACCCTGAAGTTTTTTTAAAAAATATTTACAGCACAAGGCTTTTTGTTGGTTATGGACCTTATGGTTAGAAAGTCAACCATAAATAAGTTAGCGTCTTGGCAAGACTTTTTTAAATCAATATTTAAAAATAATAAAGGAGTTAGATTATTATTATTTTTTTAGGGAAACGTTGCTGTTATAACTACAAATAGTTGAACTTTAACAATATGCATACTAGCACTGAATTATAAAGGTTGGAATCCCAAGGTATTTCTAAATTGCGAGGGTTGCTGCAATTATTTGCCTTCATACTTATGAAATTTAAATCCAATGACTAATGGAGATATAGCTATAGGGTATGTAATATTTTCAAATTTTTAGGAGTAATTTTTCAGATTCAAAGTTGGGCGTGACAGTACCAATGTTTAGTTTTGGAGTGGTTTCTTTTTTGCCAAAAATAATTGAAGAGTTGAGGAAGGTTAACTTTTTTTGTCATATGATAACCCTTTTGGTGCAGAATTGTTAAATCATGTGATCTTCAGTAGTTTTCACTTCCGTTGGCTTTTCTCTTTTGGTGCACTATTGGCGTCTGGCAGACTTGGAAATTCCCTGTCTGTGACATTACTTGTAATTTGCTAATGGTTACCTTAACTGTCTCTGGGTAGATTGTTCTTGATGTTGCAGCGCTTTCCTGTGGAATCCAAAGGAAGACGTAAGAAGTTGCAAGAGGTAGGATGTTATAGACTTCTTTTTTAGAATTTTGATTCGTTTTAATCTTTCCCATAGATTCTCTCTTTTAACTTCTATTTGTTTTGGGTGGGACAGGTTGGCTATGTGACAACTATATGTTTTTCTTGTTTCCTCGTCAGATGCATCATGGTGAGTTTACTTCTCTCCAGTGTTGTTATGCTGTACCAATGGGAGTGATTGCATTAGATATTCTGCCTTGTAGAGTTAGTATGTTATCATATTTACAATCGGTATGTAGAACAAACATCTCGCTCATTATGATTGATCAAATTTTAAAAATATTTGTGACAAGTTTAAGATGTTGGACAATTGTAATTTGTAATGGAGGTGCTAACTATTATAATCATCTTTTGTTACTTGATGTGCATGAAAATTAGCATAGAATAATGTTTTAATAAGATATGAAGACAAGCAACTCAAGAGGGTTAGTTGTATAGACGGTTACCTACATGTTTTACTGTACCTAGGCCGAGCCTGGGTATTAATGAACTTCAAATTCATTTTCGTTTGGGTCCTTAACCAATCATCAAGGAAAGC